TGTTATAAACTATCCACTTTTCCTCGCCAGTAACTAGGTTCTTCAGAAATGGATCATTCTCATTGCGTTTCAGTAGCGGCGAATCACAGATGCTAATCCGTTGCGTCAAATGAATTTCCTTTAACTGGTGAGGGATCCATAAATCAAGTTTCTTGACGTAACCAAGGGTTTTTAATTTTTTTTCAATGCATGTATGCGACACATTGAGCTTCTCTGCAATATCTCGTGTTGTGTTGTGACGATTTGAATCGATAATGGCCTTGATATGGGTTTCATCCACTTCGACTGGGCGGCCAGATCGTTGTGAATTTTTCAGTGAAAAATCACCGGAACGAAATCTTTCAAACCAATTTCGACACTGCCTTTCTTTTAAGGCTTCATCTCCATATACGGCACATAACTTCTTTTGTGCTTGCGATGCGTTCTTGCCTTTTCGGAAGTAATACAATAAAATGTGTCGGAAGTGCACGTCTTGTTCTTTCATTTTTAAATTGGGATAAAAACAAAACTAAAGAAATAAACAAAAAAAATTTTTACTAATTAACCTAGAAGCCCATACAGTAAGAAAAAAATATAGGCTAGATGCGCTGGCCACGTTAACAAAACAAAAGAAAGTGTAGAGTGAATCTGTCAACAAAAACGGCAATGACTTAGTTGCCAACCCAATACAAAAGTCAAGAAAAAGACAATTAAGCGAATTACCTCATTCAACTTAAAATGAATGAACCTGTAAAACAATAATTTCAAAATTATGCTTGTCTATATATTAAGCAGAAAATTTACAAAGCTTCAATACTGTTAAGTCGATATTTTTACAACCAAGGCACTTATTGACCATTCAAGGAGCATAAAATTACTCGCCGTCCATAAAACGACGAGGGTTACTAAAAATAATTAGGGGAATAAAAAGTAAAATGGGGAACAAGAGAAGATATAGTTCCATTATTTCTTTGATACTAACTCCTGATTTATTCCAGTTTACGACAACATAGTATGCACAAAAATTTCAGTATGAACAAATTTAAAGAATTCAGGACCTTATTCAGCAAGCATATACCTCCGGCAGATTGATTAATTCAAATAAACAGTTTAATAAGAATAGCTATTTTCAAAAGAGGAAAATTAATTTCAATTCCCCTATCGCAAAAACAGAACTCCCCCCCCCCTCCCACAGGTTAGACAACGTACCTACCATTCATTAAAAAGCAAGTGAATTAGGAACCAGATACAAGATTATCAAATACAACTTGGGGGACTAACATTCCGGCACAATTGTATAATAAACGTAGAAGAAAAATCCGAAATTTCAGTATATAAAGAAATAAATAGGCTAGGGAAGATAATGAAAAAAGGCCCTTTAGAAACAAATGCCATTTAATTAGACAAGCATACAAAATAATTCTTACCGATAAGCATAAATTTCCTTGTCCAAAAGCTCGAACAATCGTGGTGGGAAAAACTGGAAATCCTGAACTGTCGGCTGCTTCGGTGGACGAGGCGCCTTATGCGCTTTTGGTTCAGCTAAACGGAGCGCCTCTCGGAAGTAAGCATCAACTGCATAGTTCGCTTTACGTTCACGTTTCGGTGGCTCAATCCAACCCTACAAATAAAGGGATGAGTAGATGAGAGCAATATCAAGGTGGGTTATAGTGAGGTATGCTAGCAGTATTTACAGCAAGTGATCCAGAATTCTGCTGCTTGGTACGATAATCTTCACCATCGAAGATGTATACCGAATCAGGCCCATCATCTTCTGTGTCGAAACGAAGTTGCCTGAGGTTTGATTCACCCAACTTGCTTAACTTTTCATTCAACTCGCTGGTCTTCTGCTCACCACGAGCCAGAATTTCATCAATGTCTTCATCTTTAATGGTGCTTTCTTTGCTGCGGAAAATGTAATTGGCGCCGTATTTAATCATATCAATGACTTCATTCTTTTGCAACTGATTGGACTTTTGGTCAACAAGACGGCCTAAAGAAAAGCATACTAAGTAAAACGGATTCAAAAAATGTTTCGGATGAAAAATATCACAGATTCCATTTTTTCAAAGAGAAAAATGACTTCACTTTTAGTAAAGCATGGATTTAAAATGCACCTTTCAAAGGTTTTGAAGAACACTTTAATAAATAGGCCCATTGCTCATTTAAATTTAGTGCCTAATTGAGTGTCTAATTAGCTGAGTGAAAATGGAGTAGAACAATTCAATGCTGTACAACTTCATGCCCATGAAAAGTAAATTGATGCTACCAACCAAATTAACAATTACAGATCAGATGAGAATCCATTTGTGAAATAAAGGGTAGCATAAATGCGATCTGTCAAAAAAAATTTTTTACTCGAGTCCAATGGTTTTAAGGCTTAATATGCTTAAATTTTGAAATAGAGACAATGTACAAACATAAAAACACGAGTTACAAATTATGGACTAATTGATGCAACGATGGTCTGCACTTACCCTGTTGGATAACAAGGTTGTCTAAATGAAGCTTCATGTCAGCTCTCATAACAATTCTTTCTTCGACCGTATTCTCAGTAATGAGTCGGAACACACGAACCGGTTTGGTTTGACCAATACGATGTGCACGATCCATAGCTTGCAAATCAACTTGAGGATTCCAATCCGAATCGTAGAGAATAACAACGTCAGCAGTAGCCAAATTGATACCCAAACCACCAGCACGAGTTGAAAGCATAAAAATGAACTTATTCGAGCCGGGACGATTGAACTCATCAATAGAGACCTGAAAAATGGAATATTAACCTTAGGATCACTGCTTTAAGTGTTAATAACAAGGAGACCACTGTACAACAAACCTGACGATCATCATGGGCAGTTTGACCGTCCAATCTGAAGTAATCATGACCCCGCCACATGCAATAATCCTCAAGAATATCTAAGGTACGGGTCATTTGACTGAAAATAAGAACACGAGATCCTTGCTCACGAAGCTTCTTTAGCAGTTTGTCCAAGAGAACCATTTTACCACAATTGTCGACCAAATGTTGATCAGTGGAATAGGGAGGACCAGGTTCAACACCATCAAATAGATAAGGGTGATTACAACACTTTCTTAACTGCATAAGAACGTTCAAAAGACGAACTTTATCAGCTTTTTGACCATTAGTATTAACCAAATCTAAATCCTTCATTAAGATCTTGGTGTAAAGATCTCGTTGCATTTTACTCAGGCCGATGTAAATTTTAACTTCCTTTTTGGGTGGAAGTTTTTTCTCGACATCAGCTTTAACACGACGCAACAAAAATGGACGAAGGATCTAAAAGCAAAATAAAGTTGTAACAAACTTTAACATACCGAATGCAATCGTGTAACAAGCGTCTCTTCCTGTAATGAATGCGAATTGAAGAGCTCATCGAAGGTATCCGATGACTGAAACATTTTAGGCATAAGGAAGTTCAAGAGAGCCCATAATTCATGAAGATTATTTTGAAGCGGGGTACCGGTAATTAGAAGACGATTCTGTGAGTTAAACATTCTTACAACTTCAGAGAGTTTGGATTTTTCATTCTTGATACGATGAGCTTCGTCAATGACCAGGTAAACAAAATTATATCGCCTGAGAAGATTCTTCTCCTTGATACACATTTCATAACTTGTGATGAGGACATCCCAATTCCCAGGGACAATCTCTTCGCGTATAACACGAGCCCTTTCGTCAGCACTTCCGATGAGACAAACAGGGTGTAAGGAAGGAACCCATTTGTTGACCTCATTTACCCAGTTTGACAAGGTTGATTTGGGAACAATAACGAGAAAGGGGCCAGATTTGCCTCGATAATGTTTTATATAACCGAGAAGAGAAATTGTCTGAAGCGTTTTGCCCAAACCCATTTCGTCAGCAAGAATGCCATTGGTATTTGTCAGACCGAGATTGATTAACCAGTTTAAACCACGAATCTGATAATCTCGCATTTCACCACCCTTGACATCTATATTAAAAATTATGCTACAGGAAATCGAAAACTAACACCAAGGAGTAACATCAAACCGAGTAATGATAGAAATTCCACCCTTTTTAACATCAGTCAAAAGTTCTTCATCCTCTTCCTTTTCAGTACGACGGTGACGGTGACTAGGTAAATTATTAACAAGGCACATTGAGAGAGATAAAAAGCAGCTTACTCAGTCACAGACGGTGCTGGAGCTTGAACACTAGTGGGACTAGTAAGGCCAGCTCCGGTGTCAGCTCCAGTTTCTTTAAGGGCAGTGAATGCAGCAGCTTTATCTAAAAGCTCCTGCATCCGCCGTTTTTTTGATTCGATTTCGGTTTCATCCATATGCACCTTAACCGGAGCGGTGCTTTCAGTAACCAAAAACTGTAAGAAAAGTAAAGAAATCGAGATATTTTAATTAAAATGAGTACAATCATATTGAAAATAGACCAACAAAACCTAACCTCCTCTTCATCGACATCAGACATCTCGAGGCCGCACTAAAAGTACGAAGAGTTCAAAAATTCGAAGCATAGGGGGAGAAAAACAAATATACCTTTGATCTTAGTAAAATATCAACATTTATTGTCAATTTACTTCTGACTATTTTTTAAGTCAAAAAATCTTATTACATCTTTTCGTTATTTAGTTTTTGCCCAACTAATTCAAATTTACACTTAGTTTAAATTCATTATTTATCACTTTACTACAAATTTTACCACGAATTTAGAACTTATTGAGTATATAATTTCTAAATATATAAGCTCAGACTGATTATTTATATTCTTTGTGGTCAGGAAAGTTTTGTTATACCTATTTTAAGATCTTAAACTCAATAGTTATGTAGTTGTAATGTAGGCTACTTCTCGTCTAAGATAAATATTAAGTTCTAGTAGCATTTATAGTAGCATTATAGCATTATTATATAAAAACCATCTATCTTAATAATAATGAAAAATTGTATTCAAATAGTAGGAATGATTAAAATAATTTCTTTCATAATGACATATGCGCATATCATTATAATGTGGCATGAATGTGAGTTTGTAATAATAATGCACCACTTACAACTGTTTATCTGGAAACTACCTATTATTAAGAAAGTAGTAGAACAGCTTGTGTGAGTATCTAAATTCATACACAATAACTTTATTAAAATATCGAAGTAGGAAATTGGAGACGTGCTAACTGTACTCGTTTCCTGATGATTCAATAATGATCGCAGTAAACTTATTCTTCAATTACCTCCTGCCGGATTTTAAAATAAACCAGCAAAATAATTTCACTAAACCTTCGGTGAATAGATGTTAAAATGTTAATTTTGAAGCCAAATCGATGGAAATAATTTGCATTGTTGCCAGAAATTATATATAATTAACATAATCTGTTTTTAAGTGTTGAATACCTATAATAAGCAAATAAACCAAAATGAAACTGCCGTTTAACGCAAATAATTGAATTTCCACATCTTCGTTTTTGAGCTGAATTTAACGTGAGTGCTGGAAATGCTCAATTCTTTTGATTAATTTTAGCTTACAACTTTTGACCCCGTCTCTATTAGTTAATGTTCATCCAACAATTCATCACTGCTCAGCTGCTGCCTATCTCATCACGCAATCATCCCTTCAACCACTTTTGTAATTTATAACTAATTTCTCTCCCCTCCTTCCATATGGAGTCTGACTAACGCAGCAATAAAATAGTCACCAAGTGAGAATTAATTAAGTGCCTACATCTTAAGTGGTGTTCATTATCTTATTATCTTAACCACGCATTCTTTTTGCTTAAATTGAAAACACAGCTTCTCTTCCTGAATGAAATTCGGCTTAGCTCACTTGGAAAATAGGATAAGCTCTGCCAGATACACTTCGCCGTCATTAAGCAACTCAACCAAAATGATCATAATTTTGAATGAGACCACACCATCATATTATCAAAAATTAACAGAATTCATTTGCGGCAAGTGCTTCGGCTTACCGGCAACTATTCCTTAAATTAGAAATAAGTACTTATGAGAACGCGACTACGAGGGGAAATTGGAGCCATTTCATACCCCATCTACATTATATATTGTCGTGCTTCACTCATCAAATGACATTCTTCTTCTCATAGTGGTAAATGAATCGATCATTAAGCATTTTGTCAATTTTCCCCGCTAGTTAACATCCGGTGTGAACTTTGATTTCTATTAAATAACTTTTCCACTTCGTTCATCCCAGACCCCTTAAGGAAGGCCTTATCAAAGCCTAACATGTGTAGAGGAAAGATAAGTTGTAATGCTATGTGCGAGAGACGCGTTCAAACAACCGTCATGTTGGCCAAATTAACGATTGGAGTTGGTCGCACACCGGTATTAGCACTCCGACTGATATTGATCTCGTGTCATCTGACTTAGCATTTGCGTACGTTGACCTCGTCATTTGAATACTCTGTCAACAACTATATCTTTCATTCTCGTCTTGGTGAAGCTAATTTCATGCTGTTGAGAAGACCACAAGCATAGTGTTCTAAGTCGTGACGGGGCTTTCCACTATTCTATTCTCAACTCTCGGATCCCACAATGTTTCAATAGATTATGGAAATAAAAGTAATTTTTCGGTCCGTAATTTCAAGAATAACAGTTCTTCATATATTGCCATAAAACTCAAAAATCCGTATTGTTAAAAAACATAACAAAACAATGATTCAATACAAAAGAATGACAACATCAAGGAGAAACCACAATATCAGATTCCAGTTTATCGTACACTAGCGCGTTCATTTCACCTTGAAAAACCTCCTAAAACACAAAGAAAACGAAAAAGGCATTCAACAGCTCGAAAAGCATGGTAATGAGAAGGATCAGCATTCACACATTCAAGGGCATGCAAGGTGTTTCAGTTACAACTACTATGATGTCCATCAAAACTCACATATGTAGCTGCCTACTCTCTCTCTGTCTCTGCAGAGAAGCAGAAATGAAATCACGAACACGTAGCATCACATCTCGGCTATAGGAGTAGCCACAAAGAGACTACACAGAGATGGTTTAGAATGTTAGATTTAGAGCATATGAGACAGTTAGGTAGCGAAATAACAGTTTCGAATAGGATCGTACCTGAGGTCGAGTTGTAGTATTGTTGGTAATGTTCGCAGTACTGCTTTGAAAAGTTTGTGATTCTGTCGCTATGGATAGCCCAGCTTCCAAATCCGAAACACCGAGCGTCGCCACAGCTGAAAGCTCTCGGTTGCACGATTTGACGGCATCACACAGCGTCTTTTGTACTGATTCCGAATACGGCATCTTTTGTTCGGATTTATTCCATTTCTACAAGGAGGAGGGATAGAGCTGTAAAATATTGTTATATATTCTAGCGAATAAGGGCATGAGGAGCACACTCACCGTCGGTGCCCATTCAAGCATGATAGCCTCCTCTGTCTCATAAATGTCATTTGAGGAAAGTTGGACGTTGTCATCATCACAGACTTCACCTTCTTCGCGTCCTTCATGGAAATCCAGGTCTTCATCATTATCAGAATGTGGCGGTGTTTCTTTTGGGGTTGATGGACCTTCAGGCAAGGACCTAGCCTGGTCTTCGAAACTGGAAAATCAAAATAAGAAACTGCAGCAATCTTGATAGGAAAGATGAATCCTATGTAACAGAACCGATATAGTTCTAAATGTGTTCTCCTACAATACAGTGCATGTAACGAACCATTTTTTAATTGCATATCGCGTTCTATAAACAGAAAGGACTAAAATTATGAGGAAAATCTTCATTTACCACCCTATTAGAACTTATAAACCCAACATTTAGTTAATATCAATCCCAATTTTTGTACATATTCTTTTATGTTTCTATAGTTAAGAAGGAAAATGCGTAAACATAAAACGGATATTCAAGGCACTTGGTCTTTTCTAAATTGTTTGAGCTATCTAAGTAGAGACTTTGTTTGGTCAATAGCGTCTGGGAGCTCTCATAAGAAAGCACCCAAAGCATTGCTAAGAATTGTCCATATAAACTAGCATTCCTGAAACGCAGCAGAATTCCAACTCGACTCTGAGGTTCAAAAAGCAAACCTTGATACATTTCAATGAGATTGAGCCTAGTTTGGCCCATTCAAGACCTAAATGATGGAGCAGGAAACGAGTGCTATGACGTGGCTTCTAATGAGTGATTAAACCGGCTATTTTTCCCCTCAAGTAAATCTTAATCGTTAGGTATTACCCTCTACCGACCTCACTTCAGATTAAGAATCTACCAGGAAGTTTTTTTTATCGAACAGTCAGAAGGATTCCTAAATAATGCTTGCCAATTTATCCTTTTACTCATCATCCATTTATCCCTCGTGGTTTGTGATTCTCAACAGTAAACCATGTTCAAAGGCCTTACAAATTTTCCAACTTTTGGCATGGCAAAGGTAGTGATAAGCTAGAAGGCAACTGGAATTATACGAGAAAAGATTGAGGTCTGCATTGTAACGCAATTGTAGTATTATAAGATGAATAAACTAAGGCCATACAGAAATAAAACAGAAAAAGGACTCACTCGTTTGGAGGTGTCTCTAGAGGAGTTGACGGACCCACAAAGGAGGGTGCACAATCATCCTGAGGCCTAGAGATGGAATTAAATAGAGACAGGTAAATAACTTCTTAATCAATTCAAGTACCACTGAATTAATAAATCCAGTGTAAATTTAGTGGACTTAAGGAACACGGATTTAAAAAAAGTGTCCGTACACTTTCATTCATGAAAAATTGGCATTTTAGAATGGGATGTATCAGTACGTTCTCTCCCCCCCCCCAGTCACATTACCTACTCAGTCATATCCCCCCCCCCCAACGGTTGCTTTTCATATGATAGGCATCGATGCAAACATTGTAGGCATAATGAATAAGTGGTTTCTCCTGAAAAAAAAACGAACTTCCCCAATTGGCTACTCAGAAGTACCCTCGGTGTCCTCCACTACTTTTCTTAATAATGTGGCAAACTATTTTAGGAATATCCTCAAGAATACAGCGATTATTAAAAAAACAACAAAATGTTCAAGTACCTTAAAAGGGATCAGTTAACTACGCATAGTAAGTATATATATATATATATATCAACACGTGTCTTTTCCGTAGTTTATTCGAAAAAAACACAAATCAGTCGAGAGTCACTATAAATAATCATGAAATTATTCAACAAACTTTCTTCTGAGAATACCGAGAACAAGCATTATCAAACACAGTGCAGCAAATTTTTGCAATTTTCGATTCCTATTACCTAAAAAGTGGAGAACATTCCAACCACCCACCACAACCTACAGTCAGCTTCTTCGATATCCGCGTACAAGCCATAAGCAGACGAGCTGATAAAGTTTGTACTTTGAGACTTTATCGAGTATGAGTTGATGTAGTTGGTCGAGCTAAAGCATTGACCGAGGTTAACAAAAAATAATTATAATCCACCCCGAAATAGCTTCATAAAATGCACAAATGATTAAAGCATGTGATAGGAAGATGGAATGATACTAACTCCAACAATGCCCTATAAATAGGCTCCGCCAAGAACCCAAGAAGCAAAAAGAGAGAAGTGATGTATGGCTTTTCAAAGCAATTTCTTACGAAGAAAAGTTAAAATCATTTTCTGCAGAGGAATTAACCTCTTCTGGTTGGGGAATATCCTGAATTGGATCTTTGGGAGACGAGGGTTGACAAGACGGAGTAGAAGCATAGGGCGAAGCCCCATCTTTGTCTTCCTCATACTCCAAATCTGTTGGAAGCGGTGAGGAGCTCTGCTCGTTGAATGAGTCGAACACATCAAATGCGTCCATCATAGCCTCTGTGTCAGATCTGAAATAATAAAGTTGCTTGATGAGTTGTAAAATTGTGGCTAAATCATTATTGACGAACATAATGATGGAAGTAAGATAAAGAGTTCAGTTTTAAAAACAAAAAGTTCACTTTCAAATTCGAATCTTCCAGTACATTTCATCATTTCGATTTTTTAGAATGGGAAATATGGAAAATTGGTACAAAAAGGACGAAACAAGCCAGAGGATCCTATGAGAACACGCCCTAATTAGATAAGTCTTAGTAAAGTGGAGAACTCAATAGCATAAACACCCTTTATGATACGAGAAGGGCAAACACTTGTAGTTTATGCGAAAGTTTGTTACGCAGTGAATAGTATTTGGAGGCCAAGATAATACAGCAAAAACATCTTAGCCAGCACTTTCATGCCACTTAGTTAAACTTATAACATTTTTCATTGATAAAATTTTTTAATAAATTTTTGCAACCACTGTTTAACAAGAGATCTGTATGCTAATTTTGATCTTATGCGGGAACCATATAACTACCGCAATGGATTCACAAAGGGCATGCGGTTGAAGTATCACAATTATAAAACTCACAGGGACAGATCTTCCGCATCTTCTTCAGGATACTGTAATTGACCAAGCAGAGTTTTTGCCTTCTCAGATCCAAGCTTGGAGGCAACTGAAGTTACATAAAAATTGCAGAAGGCATCCAACGATTGTCTTACAGCCTTCTTTATCACCTCTCGATCAAGAGGTTCTGAAATGTCCAGGAATCTTGAAAGACCAGAGGCCTCATGTGATAGAGACATGAACAAATCAGCCATACTATCAGCTAGATCGTCCAGACGAGAACGCACTGAATCATGAGTTACACCACAAGAAAGCCGCGAAGATTGAGTATCCAGTCGTTTAGCTAACGTATTGGCTAAATGTAAAAAACACAACTATATTAAAGCAAAGAGGCATTAAAATGAACACTATAGGTGGAAGCATACAATTACTGCAGATCAGACACATGGGTGTTGAGACATCTAATTGCTGCTTCATACTGAGTATAGACTTAAGTCGACTTCTCATGAGATTGTGTTGCATTTCAGCAATTTGCGGATGCTCTAACGAGATGATGCATTCATTTAACAGGTGAGAAGTCTGCGCTAGAACAAATAATTGTCCGAGTCTTCGTTTTAGTCGAGCGCATTTAGCTGCTACAGCATATGCTGCAGGGGGTGGGATGCCAGAATTGCTTCGACGTTTCGACTTCATCATATCACTTGTCCAACGTCGAAGTCGACCTGATAAAATTATAAAAAGGTAAGCAAAGTCCCACATAAACAACAATTTAAAAACTAAATATGCACACACCAAAAGAAATGTTAGGTATTCTTTCAGACACTCGCCTTTTACTAAGGCGGTTTAGTGCTGACTGACGAATGCCTTCAAGATTTTTGGTACAATTCATGATGTACTGTTTGGTTCCACAGGCATCGTTACATACTAAAAATGCGAATTAAAAACTATAAAATGTCTTACAGTTAAAGAACTCATCAGAGTAGTGATTAATGATAGCCTCGGTTAAGTCCCTAATAGCAGCGTTTGGAGGAGCTGTAATATACCCTTTGAGGGCAAATTTAGAATGGAAGGAGGGCCAATTTAAAGGATCAGAGTAGAAATTGACAAACGCGTTGATCTTATATTCAAGATCACCGATAAAGTCTGTAACTAAATCTAAAAAATTATGAAAGTTTTAATAACCTTAAAAGATAATTCAGTATAAATCGAATAATTCAATAAAGCCTTCACAACAAGTCTCAGAAACAAACCTTTATTAATCGATCTTGCCAAGTTCCTTATTACGTTTTCAGCATGGTTTTCGATAAATAGCTGAAAATCAAACAGTATCAAATCGGTACTAAGCATATCAATATAAGGTATGCGTCTGGGTATCAGATAACTTTCCGTAAGTGTTAAAGCCAATGTAAGCGACGAAGTAAATCGAAACTAGGCTAAGTTAACAAACGCTCCATCATTCGACCTACTAAATCTTCATCCACCGAGACATAAGTAGATCAATACCAGTGAAAAAATCCGACGAAGGAATATATATGCCTATATGTCCTATATGACTATTTCTGTCCACTTTTCCCTCTTCTCCATCCTGTTCCACAACCTCGCAACGAATACTTATATGTTATTCTATAGTGGCACGAAACTTCACCATGGGATAAGTCAAACTAATTAACTATATGACATTTCAGAAATCCTGCCTTGAACAATTGATTAGTAGATTTAACTTTATTACATCTTTAGTAATAACACTCTTAGAAATGTGCAAGTGATCCAACTAAACAAAATTTTAGTATCTAGTATTCCAGTACCTAGAATCTCCTTTCGTCAACTGAATTAGTGCTATGAAATCTGGGTGATTACATTGCAACTTGTAAATATGGTATAGTGTTTTTTATTTCGAAATTTTACGAAAACCAAACTTATAGAGTATAAAAGTGTTTATAATTAGTTGTCCTGGAAAATTTATTCATAATCACAAATATGATACAATAGATCCTTTTATTGGAGAAAAAATAAAATATCGAGGAAAAAAGAGAAAAACATGCCGAGCATACGTGGAAGTGAGTAATAGGAGCAAATCATATATGACAACAGAAAACGGAACTAAACTTTGATGTAATTGTTTCCCACCGACGATTAATCTAGTCATTCAGCTCACGACAAAGTCGGCACATGGCCATAGAGGGTACATACTGTTCCATTTGAATAGTCACTTCATGGACAAGGAATCGTCGACGAAGCAATTTATTTGCCCGTTCTAATTGCTCCTGGGAAGATTTCAAGTCATCTTTAAAAGTAAAAAATAGGAATTCATTTATATAAATTTGTTACATAAATAAATATTTAGATTGTAATTTTGATTAAATTAACATTTAAATATATGTATATAAAAAGTTATACTTTTAAAAAGTAATGAAAAAATGACATAATCTATAATTAACAAATAAGTAATTTAATGGTAAGCGTAACTACAAATCGATAAAAATTTTTTCACGGGCATTTTTTATTTGTAAAAATTTGTGCTCATAGATTAGCACTATTCGGCCGGTCATCAAATAAAATATACTTTGTCCCACTGATAAGATATCTGTCTCCTCGACAACCTGAATTCAAGTAAAATGATAAGCTGAATGAGCTTTTGATGAATAAGGTAATAGATTATTAGCTTTTTAATCTTGCCTAAAGAATTGCACTTTATTATTACTAATAATAGCATGAAATGACGAAGTTCTGACCATGCATTTGAGCGCAATTAAGACTTTTCATCAATCACAATGAAGTTAAAAACCTGAGCTATATTACATACGTTAACACACTCAGAGAGCCAAAATCGTTTGCTAGAGTGTATTTAAAGAATCTTCACCAATCACAATAAAGTAAAGATCCGTTCCCTTTTATGTAAGTAAAAACACCCGAAAGTCAAACATGAATTAAAAATACGCTTTTAATTACGGTGATTAGTGTGTAAGTCACACATCATTACTGGTTTCTCGAATGCAAAGAAAGAAATTGATCTAATTAGAGCATAGTTCAAACTAAAGAACACTGATAAATGGTAGGCAAATGAAAAATTGAAAACTTGAGTTTGCCTTTAGTCTAAACTTTGGACTGTCATATGGTTTCCCACACCTGATCTCATATGATTTTTCTTAGATAGATGAAAAGAGAAAACAATAATTTTAGGCATCCTATCATGTTCCAATATTACATAATATAAGACAAGACAAACGGTGTAAACATAGGCATACCTCCTTGGCTATACTTGACATAACTTGTTTTATTTCAAAGGAAGTTGGCATTACCAATGTTAAGCAATGTACCAAACCATAAAAAATATATTTGGTTGAATAAAAAGACGCATTAATGCCCAAAGAATTGAAAAACGCTAAAATATTTAAAGTGCTTCCCGATATTTATTAAAGTAGATTTGAGCAGAATGCATAAAAGTAACCTACTAAAGTCTCCTCAATTAGTCGACTCAAGACCATAACTTGAACTAAGGGATAAATTTTTGCATAGTAGGAAGTTAATAAAATAGCATTCCTTGCTTTTTAGGAATTTAGACGACGAAATCAATGAGAAAATATCTGTAAATTATTTAATGACATACCAGTAGCAAGATGAACCGAAACGGCAGTCTTATTCATTGTGAGACTCCATATTCGAAGATTGTGAACTTCCACAATTCCTGGAATAGTTTTTAGCGAGGAGCGCACTTCTGCGAAGTTAAGGCTCTTCGGAACACCTTCCATTAGGATATTCATGGCGTCTTTCAGGATATTCACTGTTGTCAGCAATACCAACACGGAGAAAATGAAGGTGCAAATAGGGTCAGCGATCTTGTAAGCTGGCTATAAAAAAAAATATTAAAAAAATAGAGCTTCATAAAAAATTTTATTTTAAACTTAAATCGATAGATTAAAGGTGGGGAATCAGGTAGCGAATTAAGTCGAGTTGCCTCAAATTCTTCGACTGATCGCAATTCGAGTTAACAATAGAATATGAAGACATTAACAGCGTAAGCATTCCTAAAATTTTTAAACACTCACGAAACTCTTCACCTAACACATAATATTAAAATATCAAGGCGTTTAATCTAAATCCTCCTGAAGGTGGATTGCTATGCACATTTATACATATTTCTTTCCATTGCATGCGATACATTATTGAAACTTTTCTTTTAATAAAGTTTGTGTTTGCATTTGACTAACAACTCACTAAAAGAAATAAAATTGATAAGGCTAATAATTTCAGATAAAAAATAGCGTTTATAATTCAAACTTAGTTTAAGTTGGTTGGGATGTGGTTCTACAATGTTTTGGATAACATAAAGGTGCCAATGCTGCCATTTAATTCTTATTTCTAAATTAATCGGCTAGCAAGATTTGTTGAATCAGTTTTAAATATGGAAATTATTGATCAATTTAGATTCTAATGAATGAATAGAGGAGTTTCCCTGCAAACGTGCATTTGGGATTCCAGAGGAATCAGCAAACATTTCTCTGGACAAAATATTTTCATTTATCCTTAAGTTATGGGGATTGGGGCTTGTAAGTGAATCGAAGTTACGCAGGTGAATGATTAACCTTAGATTAAATTAGAATTTATCATTTAAAAGAAAAAGTATTTCATATTTTGTTATAAACAGCAAATATCGGTTAGCACTCGGAGTGAGTTGGTTGGCGATATGATATTGATTAAAGTATCCAAAGTCGACCCAGCTGTGTATATGTAATCGAAAATAGATATCAAAAAAGATACGTCCATTACTCTTTGTTATAGATCACGAGAAATGTCTGACACAAAACAAGTAAAATTTTGACTTAAATCTGGGTTATTTAATGATTAATTGTGGCGATTTCTTGATCTAGGGACATGAGTGACTCGATTTATTCCTTATACATGGCCACGGTCTACATAACTAGAGTACATAATCGCAGTTATACGTTAGTTGGGTTTGATGTGATAAGTCACAAAATTATTCTTTCTTTCTTACCTTGAAATAGATGACAATTGCAGCAATCATAACTCCCACACTCTGCAGAAGATCGCCAATCACATGAATAAAGGCAGCTCGAACATTGATATTCTCTTTCTCCTGTTCAACTGCTGGGGACTGTTCCTCCCCCATGTGATTATGTTTATGTGAATGATGTTCATGTCCGTGGTGTTTATGAGAATGATCTTCTGCATTGTATGGTCTCTCAAGACCCTGTTGAAATTCTCCACCCTCACAAATGACCTTGGTTACGTCTTCACTGGAGTCTTTGCCGTACTCCTCATCTCGGGAGTGGCTGAGCTTCTTCTTCAATTTGGAGAAGAAACCATGGCTGTGACCGTGGCTTCCGTGACTGTGACCGTGTGACGAGGCTCCATGATCGTGTCCGTGTTGATGAAGAGTTGCAGCCATTCTATATTCAATTAAGTAATTGTTTACCCCAATATTAGGAAAGTGTCGAAATAATATTTACTAATGGTCTAATCACAAGTTATTTGTTATTTAAATTATCGTGAATTGGGTTTATGTATTTAACAGATGGTTTACTAACTCGCAAAATCTGCATTTTCCAACCTTCTGGGATTCTAAGTCGATGCTTGGTCCATATAGTCCAATTGTGTCAGTTCATATATTTCCTAAAGTATATTTTTAAATTCTATTTGTGCCCATTTGTATATTTTCAGTTGCCTTTGGAAACTGCAGAGCTATTAATGCTCATTAATAGACTTACTCAATTCTTGTAGGCTATCATTATTCTAAGCTTAATAAAGCGCTCCAATCGAATTAACTACTGAAAAACAATAACCATGCATCTTAAAAAGGCATGAATGTTTGTTCGTGTTTTCCCAATCTCTCCCTAATTATTCAATTTACTACTATAAAGCATACGCTTTATAGTACTCTTTCGTACAACCGAATTACTATCTTCTACTGCCTGCAGTAAAGGGAAAAATTTCCAAAACAACTGGTATGGTAAGAGGAAGGGGAGTTGAAAGGTACAGTGGACAACTCGATTTGATTCTGGGCTTGGATTGTACAGTATTTACGGAATTGGCGAGTCGCTTCTAAAATTCACAGTTCACTATCCTTCCAAGGGGATGGAAGCTAATTTTTTGCCTGAATTATTCAGTATTTATTAATCCATGTTATTTACTTAAGAAAAATCAGTCTTGCCGCTTTCGTTCCGCTTTCTTTTGTTCAAGTTCTTAAGAAGACCGATTTTTCTTACATGCAATTCTCCAGCTTCTATTTTTTCGCGAAATGAAATATAAAAATTGGCTTTAACTTAGCAAGATATGTTCTCTCCAGATGTTATAATGAATTGCTCTTACTGAATCATTTCTACGTACCGTGGTCATAGTTAATGGTATTTTATGTTTTGAAACAAAAGAGCTTTTTTAATACTTACATTATGAGGGGTGTGGGATAGACTTACCTCCTCGTGGTGCTCCCTTGGCAATGTATAATCATACGGCAAAAAAGTCTATTAACTGGCAGTTGACTCCTCACTTCAAATTACCATCACCCCACTGTTTGTCATATTCGACCCCTACCACAGTACTCATCTTTCCCTTTTTGAGCCTTTGTGTCTGTCTGCTTCTTTTACACCTGTGAATCACTTTTCTATTCACCCTCCCGAATTCTTCTCACTTTGATATTCCTCCTCCCCTCTGTGAAACCCGAAATCAACTAAAGGGCTAATAACAACAATCAAAACGCCTGCCATTTGTTATAAATAAATAAATACCTACATTATGTTGACACCAACACCAACCGCTGAGGTTGCAAGCATGACGAGGCCGTCAATTTCGTAGTGTTTGTTAATTATTCGCATGACAGCCAAGTAGACAAGAATTCCCGTAACGAGCCAAATCATCAACACCGAAACCAATGCGCCTACCACCTCTGCAACAGAATATCAAACTCAATAACCTACTGAAAAGGATTTAAGTAGATATCTTATGGATATAGAACAATTATAATGCCTACCCGCTCGGTACCACCCAAAACTCATCATCCGTGTAGCTGGTCGACCAGCAAGGAAAATTGCAAACAAACTAATTAAGAAACTGGCAAAATCTGTTAGAAGATGGGCTGCATCCGTCATGATTGCCAAACTTCCCGCTAGAGCTCCTCCTAAAAAAGGCAACAAAAATGAAGTCAGCAAATGTCATGCCTGAATGACTATTTACGCATGAGTCAAGCTGCGTATTTTAACGAACCTGTTGCTTCACCGATCATAAAAACTAGGCATAGTCCACTGGCAATCAGAAGTTTCCGCTGTGCTACCTTATCCATGCCATCCTTGTTAGGACCTGAGTGACAGTGGTCTCCGCACCCACCACCGTCGATGCCCTCGTCATGACTACTAAAATTTAAACCGTAAAAAATTAACATATTTCTGCGTATTTAAAGTCAGTTTTAGTATTCTTATACAATGGCTAAAAGTAAATCTATGAAACTATTTAATAGAAAAGACACATCTTACTTGAAATTACGAAATTTTAAATACTTTGTGATAGAAATAAAAAGAGCGACTTAAAGTGAAATTTAAATGAATGAAATGCGTTTCAATGATTTTAAGTTAGAATAATTCCAAAATTAACAACAAATAAAAAAGAAGGAATTTTGATTTCAAATAACATAAATAAGACGTTTACCCAAGGTAAGGAAAGGACTACATGAGAAATGCCTCGGTTTACCAATTAAATCTATCATACTAAAAGAAAAATAAAATTAATTCTTACTCCCGAAAAGTTTTCTTGATGCTATAACTACGAACAGGGGATTGCATTTCAATATCACCATTCTGTTCGTAGCCAGCGTGCAGATTCTGTTCATTCATGGCGACAAATGTGGGCAATTGATGATAGTGTCGATTTCTAACCTAGTTACCAAGTCATTACCCCTCTATTGAATACCCTATTTCCTACAGCTACTGCGGAAGTTGGAGAACCGATTGGTGCACTACACGACTTCCGGTGTAGACTAGAAAGAATGGACGGAAGTGAAGGAAAAATGGAACTAATTATCGCTCTTAATCTCGGGCGATTATCTCATGATCTCCTCATCTTTCTGTGAATTTTGAACAAATATGTGCATTTTTAGTGAATGTATTCGCCAAATCTAATCTCAATTTTAACTCTTGAAGGTATTCTGGGAATCCTAAATTCACCCCAAAGTCGTAATATTTTATAAATTAAAAAGAATTCTCTACCCCCCACCCCACCCCCAAAAGTGATGAAATGCGTACCGAAACGTTATTGGCAAGACTAATGTAAATGTGCTCAATTTCAGATCCCTAAATAAAATGGATTATATTTTTTTTTCAAAATGTAAATTTTACAAATATTCTAATATTTGTGATGTTCTTGTAATATTTTATCAATGATAAATTCGTCTGTAGTGGTTTTGAAATTTTTCTATGCGGATTAAACGGGCTACTCTATTATTGAAAGGAGGTTTAAATTGAATTGAACACACCAAGGGGACATATGAAGACGAAACGAATTTAGTTATAATGAACTAATACAGAGGGCCACTTAAAATTATAGATAAGATAATGAAAATAAGTTAGTAGGAAAATCGATAAAAGCACAATTTACGGACAATCTATCTACTTGTCTTGTAGATCTTGTAGAATTTACAAGAAATGACATAACTAAATTCTTTCATGTTATTATAATTTGGCAAAATTACTGACAACCTTGATTGGAGCACTTACAACACACACCTTTAAATGCACCCCGTTTCAATGGAGAAAGCTAAATCAGTTAATTTCGGCACTATAAACCCTAACAAGAAAAACTGAAAATAAATAAAAATTCGTCTCAAAAATTGTATCGAGTGGGTAGTAGCGATGGTAAATCGTAACACGATTTTTACTGCGTTTTCATGCAATAAAAATTTGGCACTCCTGAGGTAGAAGTGTGACGCATTAAGAAAGGTGGGAAATATATATATATATATATATTGCTTATACATTGAATTATCAGAGGTATTTATATTAGCAAATCAGTTTACCTCTAACTAATTCGCAACCTTATTTAGAAAAGGTCCAATCAGAGCGTTAAGAAATGATTATTTCAGACCCTAGCACGTGTATTTATTTAAATTTGGTTTTATGAGCGTATTCGCGCAAAGTGCCCAAAAGTGGGCAACTGGATTAGCCATCTACACTATTATCATCACTATGTAGGAAAGTAAATAAGGCCTTAGATAAACAATACAAACATAGACTCAAATGTATAAGTGGACGAATAGAAATTTTCTCTGTAGAGTCTGGGAAGGTCTAAAGCAATATCACGTGAAAGACATTCAAATTGAATCTTTGGTGGTTAAGCGACATGATCGACCCAATGGAAGAAAAAAAAACAGGACACATGAATTCTTAAAGAAATATATCAAACGCAATGACACACCGAATTTCATAAGTTGTCTTTATTATTTCGTATCATGAGACAAACCTCATAATCTTAACTGCATGGAACGTGACTAATAAAAATGATAAAAATATTAACTTTTTAAAAGTTACATCTTCAGTAATTGGAATAAATATGAGAAGATCGACAATTTTTTAACAATGACATTTAATAATTCCCATATAACCTCTTCATTAAGAATGTATATGTAATTTTCAACAATCTAATAGCTTTTATGGTTAAAAGATTAAATCATTAAAAAATATATAGATTTTGTAATTAACGAACCAATAGCTGAAGGCCGTAAACACTCGAGCTTTCATGGTATATTTTCAAATGGATTTTTTACGAAATCTAAACACAGGAGCAAAAGTTGTATCTTTGCTGATCTAATGGGGATTTATCGTCCCCCCCCCATTTCATCACATATGCATATTCTACTAAAGATAAAATAATGGCCTAATAAAATAGCCCTGGGCTAGACTGATTCATCGAGCAAGGACATTGGACACGTTTCGTTATTTTAAAACAGAAATTAACGTAAGAAAATTTAATGAGAAAATTGGTATTAAAAAAAAATTTTGTGCAGTTGTTAGAAAGAGTTTAGTGAACCGGTTGAAATACAAAATGATATATGAAAAGGTGGATTCAAAGATGTAAATTGTACAAATTTACTTGGAAAAGAAGAACTTACAATTCATTGAATATGAGGAATTTACTAGGAACGTCATTGTACAAGTAGGCCATCGGTGTGAATTTGAACATAAGTTAAAATACCATGACAAGGAGTAAGGCCTAACCAAACGATACACAATCGTGTACTCGCAAACGAAGCCAATGAGTGTTTATTTGATCGCTAATCAACTCAAGTGTACTGTTTGCATTTTCGATGAAAATGCCAAAATTAGGCAAAAATTACTTATTTATATTATCCACTCATCGTGTATTACTACCCAATAGTAATACAGGATTTCAATTGCTCACTGGTTTGGCTATTGCAAGGTATGGGACTGGGTGTCAAAGCTACAAATTCAATGATTGAATAGATCAAATCAGAGTATTTACAAGGAATTGCATAGGAGTGTCCACGTCATGATTTCACCCTGAGCGAGCACGAAGAATTGTTTTTAGTTAAATGGAAGTTACCGGATGCTGGAGCAGTAAACAAATTCCAAAATTTAAATGAGGAATGCAATTGCAAGTATATCAAAGGTAACAGACGACAGCAATATGTCCACATAAAGTGAACTCAAAATTTAAAACCTATCTTCTCAAGTTAATTAATTCAAAATAAACTGTGAGGTCAATATAAAAGTGACCTTGATTGCTAAAATACGATGGAAAGAAGTAGTATGAGGGGACTACGTTTAAAGTGTATATTGAGCCCTTTGGGATTCGATCAATATACTTGAAATTTACTTTCAATTAACAGTGCACAGATTGCTAATTGAAGCTATATTGTTCTTTTGAGTATCAATATGTTTGCATTTCCAACTGCTAACTGAGATGTCATCCGAAATCAGTAACCGCTGACATCCTTCCTCATACCAGATTTACAGCTATTCCCTTAAACATCCAAAAGTCCTAAGTAAGGAAGAGACTGAATGCTTCCATTTGATGGATACAGCTACGATAGGAAGTTTTAACTCTTTAACGTCTTGCAGGACCGTACGGCCCTCTTTCAAGATAAGCTCCATTGGCCCTAGACTCGTAATAGAAGGCGATGTCGCCATTTGAAGCATGTTCCATACGTCTATGTAGCCTTCGCCTGATACCACCAGTACCCATCGCGTCGGTGGCATCAGTCTGCTGTGAGATAAGTGTGAGTGCAGTTCGGCCCATTTTGTCAACAAAAAAATATTTCGGGCATTAATGGGATAATTAACCTGTCTGCATTTTTAAAAATAAAGAAAATGACTGCTGAACAGAAGAAAGCGCCAAGAAAATAAATTGGGCTCAATGTTTACAAAAAATCGTCGTTTAAATAATAAATGGAAGTTCACTTTCTTCGAAACATTTTCCTGCTACATACAGCATCCAGTTGTCTATTTTCCAAAAACCTTAATTTTATTTTTTTAATAGTACATAAAAATAGGAATTTCAACTAATGTCTCCTTTAAAAGACTCTGTGCCTGGGAATGTCGGGAATAACAGTCATTTTTCATCCTGAGAAATTTTAAGTAAAAGCTTTCTTCTAACACCAAACAAGATCTTGTGTTTGTGAAATATGTGACAATAAAAGCACAAGTGATTTCAAACTTTCGTCAATAAAAATCACACATGTTGAACATTAATAAACCAAGATTAACATATCAAGTACCTTTAATGTGAGAAGGACAAAAATATAGAGATAGATCTTCAATTTATCAGGGACGAATAATTCGCGTTTGTACCACAATCTTTAACCATTCGGTAGCAACCACATTGAACTCCTCTTCTAAATCCCAACATTACTTGAGTTAATTTGCCCACCACATAGAAACACTCGACTTAAGGCATAAACAAGAAAGTTATTTTAAATTCTCCTATATTAAAAAATTCGACCTATAGACGATTGTAAAATAAGGAATAAATCATGAGTTCCGATGGTAAAAGCCGATTGGATATTTAATAATTAATGGCAGCATACATACCGGTCAGTTCATTTGTTTAAGATAGTTAACAATTCGAGCTTGAATTTGGAATCAGCATAACATTTGCTATGAATGATGAACATTGTATTTGTTGATTAGCAGTAAGGATATTGACAATTAAATAATTCACATTTGCAGGCCAAAGCATTTTTTTTTGAAATAAGAAAGTAAAGCGAGAATTGGCTATTGAATTGTTTGAAAGGAAGGCCTATTAGTTTTTATGCTATCAGAGGTAAACACTTTTGAGCTACAGGTCGCATTTCATGCAAATTCAATTAAAAATCGATCGAATTCAGTTGGGTTCCCCATTTTCCGAAAAGACAAATACTGAGTCACAAAAAATTCAGATGGAACCATGGCGACCACATGGACTGGGCGAAGCAAATCGCACATAGTCTCCTAGTTTCACTTATCGTTTACCTTTACTTAGTAAATAATGTTTTAAAAGCAATGGACTCTTTATTCTTCCATGCCTCTTTTTATTTATAGGATACATATTTGCATTGAGTAAATAGATAAATAAGAATATTTTAAGAAGCTTACTTCAAATCAACAATTTGCAAATCCGCCTGGGAGTTTTGTTGAACGGCTGCATAACCATCAACAGAGACATCTAATGTTGCTCTAAAACGATACGATGCGAAGTTAAGGTTTATTTAACGAATATCTGACTATAAATTTTTAACCTTAGAGTAATATCTCTATATTAACAGTTCTAGGAATTAGTTCCAGACAACTCACTTACTACTGTTATGGACAAGTAGCCATTTTGAAAAATCGTGTGAAATTTGCGTTATAGGGTAATTATATAGCATAACATTTACAAAATACAACATTTTAATAAAAATTTAATTGAAGTAGTAATTCACATTCCACTTCAGAAATAAGCTACTGTTGAAAAGAAATAAATTAACACCGAATTTATTCAAAGAACAGAATGAAATAAGCCGAACTTTAAATAGATCTTAAATGAAATTTAGCATTTATTTATAAATGTATTCCTTAATGCAATAATTTACTAACTAGGCGGCGACTTAATGACACAAATTATCACCCCAATGGCTATAATGCGCTTCAGTTACTTAGTTACCTATCATTGTTACTCCATTCCAAAACATAATAAAATCCGAATTTAAAATGCAAGGAAAAAGATGGCACAAATAAATTGGCTATATTTATGAAATTTTCAAAAAGCTTCTTAATCAAGAACTTCATATGGAATACAGAGCCTAGTGTCGTGATGTAAAAATGTGAAGCATGTGACAATGTCGGTGTGAAGTGATAATTCAAAGAATTGGAACCAGTCACACCCATGGGGTCTTTAACAAGAAGTGACGTAATTTATCAACATGATAAAAAGAGGATGGAAATCAGGAAACATCATGCAAAAATGGAAACATAGCTAAAGGAAATTAAGATAATAAATACAAAAGAAACAAATAACGTAGTTAAGCCAGTTAAAAAGATTGACATCGTGATTACTTTCAGTTATTGTTAATAATTACATTAGCGCTAAGAAGAATAATAAACGAACAAACTTAATAAGATTCTATTAAAGTTTTGTCCTTTTCTATCGATTTCGACTCAGCACAGAAGTTTAAAATTCGGGCAGATAATCAAAATATAAATAGATACAAGAACTATTACCATTCACAAGTGAGTACGTTTTAGATTGTATTATTATAGGGACTAAAGCACAGGAATGGAGTTGTTGGAAAGTTGTGTCTGCGAAAAATGGGTAGAAAGAACTGACACACGAGATCGAATGACAAATATTTTATGGATGAATTAATGACATTATTTTATGAAATCAAATTCAACTATTTGATAAAACAATCACTTATGTGAATTTTTTAGTAAACTAAATATAACCTTCAGTGAAAAGCGTTAATAGTAAAAATTCCTTTTGAAAAATTGCGTAATTATACTTAAAAAGTGTCACTCACCCTTGATCTAAAAATTCACCTTCCTTCATTTAGATTACCATAGTGTTAATCGTTCTAATTAGAGGTGTTGTGAAAAAAGATTTACTTTTTGAAGAAGGCGAAGCGATATAGACTTCAATATCCATTTCCAAAATACGACAAAAATACGGACTTACATACAACTTAAAATTAACGCATTCAAACCAATCGCGCTATATTTTACGTAATTGTGTTGAGCTAATAATTCATTTACGTACAAAAACGACTAATTGTTCATACATAGATTAATTTTAACAAAAGTAAAAATAAACAGCCTTATATAAATATGAACTAAAAATAAAAGATAATAGGCATATTTGTTGTTTAGTTTGTTATGAAAAAAATTAAAACTTTATGAAATTTAGATGCTCGGATAATTTGATAATTTTAATTTAGGTTCAAAATTTCAAATGACATCCGTTTTACATCTAACTACAGTCAAGGCATTTTATTGGTAGGCTTCTGCAATTAATGTTAATCCCAAAACCTAAAAATTTTTTTGCGGATCTATTGATTTCTGATCTTTAAATAGCGTATTTCTTTTCATAATTCATATTTCGGATTTTGTGTCCATAACTGAATGTCAAAACTAAGCGTGCACTTCGAAATAACAGATTTATTCATTTTAAATGAATACAATGAAACCATATTAATTGCTTTCAGCATTGTGACCTAATCCTTATTTATTTTTAAAAGTTGAATATGTGACTATTTTTGGAAGCTCCTACGGGAAACACACCAACTCATGCTCTGGTAAATTCTCCCGATATTCCATATTCAGTCTGCACCAACTGCGAGGAATTCTCTTTTCTTTAGATGACTGTTGAAAAAAATCGTACTTCTTTAGTTCAAAATTGATACTCTAAATGAGTCTACTGAAAATATTGAAAACGTTATAGTTAAATTCCAAAAAAAGATTACTTCTCATAAATTCTATCTGAAGCAGTAATGAAGTAAACTACAGTCGCTAAATCCTTACTATTAAAAATTCCCTTAATTTTAATTCGTCCATATAAGTGTAATATGGCTTTAGCAAAAATTTTGCTTTATAAAAATATTATTTTAGTGAATTATTATGAATTATAAATATTTATTTAAAATATGATATGCATTACATACTTTACTAATTGCATTAAATCTCTTTTATTTCTGATTGGCCTACTCATTTTAAAGGCTATTTTGCCCATCTAGCACAGATTGTTCGAATTTCTGGTCCGAATGAAGGCCTTGACAGATGATGAATTAAGAAATGAACTGAAAGCAAATGGCATTGAACCGGGACCTCTTACTCCATCTACTCGGGAGGTATATGAAAGAAAGCTTCAGCGGATACTCGATGGTGGTAAATCTTGTCCCAGGAATAGACCGACTGTTCATCCCTCTCCGGCTGCTGGTACTGAATCTTTGAAAGTTGAAGGTATTCGACAATTACATGGTTTAATCACTTCATTAATATTTAACTTATATCAATGTTTTGAATTTAGAAATTTCAGTTCGTCCAGCACCTCGAATTTCAATTGGTCGAACTGCAATAGTGAATCCAACTATATTTGCCCCTCCAGCATCTACGTATGTTTCAAATTATCGGGATCGTACTCTAAATGAGTCACAAGAAAACCCAGGCCATACACCCACGTCTGGACTTCGATCTCCTCTAAAACCAGTCAATGGTGATGATATCTATTCATCTACACCTTCGGGAGAGTTAGACCCACATTATCGACCAAACAGCTCATTATCAACACATCAATCGAGAGGACCATATTCTTCAACGCCCCGTCAGTCCCTTTCACGAAATGAAATGGACACCCCATCCTCTCAATCCCGCGATCGTTCATTTTGGGCCAGTTGGTTTCAGCCCGCCAACATAAATTCAGGTGTTATGTCTGATGAAAGTAATCTGAATACCGAGGAGATTGTTCATAGGGCATCGAATTCATACACTTTTCATCCTAGGAGGGAAGGAGAAACTATAGATAGATCATTTTCTGCACGAATTCTTGGTCATTCCATTGGAAATCAAGTTCCGAATGTTATCCTCTTTTGTGGGATAACCTTGATTATCGTTATTGCTTCAAGCTACCTCCTATTGAAAGATAAACACAGTAATGTTGGCAAAATTGCCGGTGGGTTTTTTGTCGATTGGGACCGTTCTACCCGTTGTGGTGTGAATAATTGCTTTTTTCCTTTTTTTTCTAGATATTCAAAAGATAGTTTGCCCTACTATGGATAATGCGGGTCACAGTGTTAGTGCAGAGGTCGGAAGTCGTCAGTGTCTCAGTAGTCAAGATTTACCTACCGTTTTGAAGATTGCTCATACGCTCTTTGATATTCTCAGTCGATTTGCAGGTCAGCATACTTTGCTTATTGACCCACTTAATTTCTTACTTGATTGATTGGACATTTTGTAACAGGTGAGCATATCTGTGGAGACTCTGTAGAGAGCACTAGAATGGAAATTAGAACAGCCAAACGTCTGGTTGAAAATGCTGTCACTTCTCTATCTTCTGAATCTTTGTCGTTTTATCAAGTGGACTTGTTATGGGACAATGTACTAATTCTCATAACTGAAGTGGGTAGAAAACATCTCGATATTGCAGCTTATGACGTGGATGGTCAAACTCCACTGCAAGTTGAAAAAGATTATTTGCTTCATTTCTTTCCTCTATTTATCATCATCATTATCATCTAAGTCGCGATTGTAGAAGCTTTCACGACGTGAACGAATTGGAGAGCCTGCGTCCCTACATCCCTGGCAAATGTCGACTTCGTATTCTCTTCACCTCAATTTTACACTTTTTGCAAAATCTCCTCTGGCTTATCGTCATTTTAACTGCAGTGGGATGTTTTTGCTATGTTGTTTATCGCGCCAAACAATCTCAACTCAATCGTGCTAAGCGTCGCAGTAAGCGTGTTCAGGAGATCGTTAGAGAAGTTTCCTGTGCGTATTATCCATTTATTCTTATTTGTATTCATTTGCTTCCATAATTATTTTATTCATTTATCCTAATTTTATAGGTATTTTGCAACAACAAATCGAGCGTTCTCAAGCCAACCGATCTGAGGCACCACATGTACCTGTAACAGTGCTCAAAGCTAAACTTCGACAAACGAATTCAGAGTGAGTTATTGACATTGACGAGGATAAATACTTAGAAGTAATATCGTGGGCTAAATAATTATTGTTTTTAGCTTGGAGGATCTCTGGTCCGATGTGGAGCGATACGTGCATTTAGTGGAAAGGAATATAGCTGTGGGCGATTGGCGAGGTCTTGGGGAGACTTGGCAATGGCATGCAGGATCAGGTTGGCAAGGATCGGGTAAGCCTCTCTATGTGTCTACCCTGCCGCTACACACCTCTTCCTCCAATCCTAGATTGTTAGATGATGTTAGTGGCTACTCTCCTCATCCCACTACAGCTGATAACTGGTATTGGCGTTGGGGTCAGAGCCTCAATTACTCTCCTCCCTCCCATTCCTCATAAAATACTCACTGCACTCTTCTCTCTCTCTATCTCTGGTCTCTGACTTTATTCGGCTCATAATGGGAGAATATTCATGAATCATTTTTTGGTTTATGCGGACGAAACTGGGTCCTTATATAGTGATCAAAACTAACTTTAATTTTGTTGTCTCAAGTTTATTTATACTGTGTGTACATTCAATAAATTATATGTGCATGTAGTTTTTTTCCTTTTTTTCTGTATACATTTATTGGGGCCTAGTTTGTCCGCGAAAGCATAGATAGGCGCAAAGTGGCAAATTTTTGCTAGATAAGTTAGAATTGACGTGTCCTTAAATGTTCCTTGGATAGGCACAGTAAAATATGTCCCGTCTCTTATCCACTCGTTTTAATGACCTTTGGCGGCTTTTATTGATTAGAATTTTTGGTTTTAGCTGTTTCTGATCATTCTCAGCGCCTACCGTTCAAGGAACCTCCTACACAATGCTTGAAAATTCGAAATATGTTCAAAGCTGAGTAAGCATTCTATAGATTATACCTAATTCTGAGAACTTATTTAGCTCGTCATTTTGTAACAATCACTTGATTTCACTGCTTTCGCACGAATTCCCTTTGAGTGGTGTTCATTGCTTTCAAATAAATTTGAACTATGAAAGATCCGTAAAACCTGACTTTCTTGTCGTTCTGGTTAATTTCCATTAGTCGTGATTTTTTGGTGACATAGCAGTATTAATTGGTAACTGATGATTCACTAGTACCTATTTTAATCGCTGCGGTACTTCTACAGGTATCAGTTGTGCAATTACTGAGTTTAAGGTGCACCACAACCACTATGTTTGCTAAATGGAAAAGTATATAAGCGCTGTTTTAGCAAATTGTCCATCGCGTCTAGGCAGATTTTGGAATTTTCTGTTGCGACATCTTCCAATTCAAAGGTCAATGCGGATGATGACTACAGCTTCCACTTTGTTCGCGGTAGTTGGCCCAGAATACCTGCCATTTAACTAAGCCCACTATGTGAACACCTTCCTTGTTAGACTGGGGAAAACTCATTATAACGTATTGTATTGTTCTGGACGCTGACACATTGCAATCAAAGTTTTTAATCCCTACTTTAGTTCACCCGATGTAAATCCTCTGCGTCTTAAACGTGAACTTCTTCATCGTGTAAATGGTTGTGGAGATATCCTACATATTGGATTAGATAGTTCAGAAGAACAGGTATGATTTCACCCTAATAGTGTGAATTTAACTTGAATTCCCTCACGAGCATCATATTTTCTTTTCACACAGGGTCTTGTTTACATAAAATGTGCTTCTCCAGCGGTTGCTGGTAGGGTATTCGGGGCGATCAATGCCAACTATTTCGACGGTACCGTCTATACTCTTTATCATGAATCATAGTCAGTCAGATGACAATGCCATGTTTATATCCCATGTTTTGATTTGATGCAGGTCATATGCTGACAGTTAAGTTTCTGCGACCGGCAAGGTATCACTCGCGCTTTCCGGATGCGATCAATATCAACGTTCCACTCAATGTCGGGGATCTTGAGTAGTATTGAATGCCTCTTTAGTAGTACCGGACTGCATTTATAATATGAATCCTTGCGTGCTTTTTGGTTTTATATTGTTATTGTTTTTTCACGTCTCTTTTAATGTCTCTTCTCTAACAAAGTTTTGCCACTTTTGTCATCTATTCTCCCCATCTTAACGCATCAAATTTTTATGTTTGTAATCATTCGGAAGTTTAAATATTGAAATTTTTACATTTGGGTACGCTTTTTTTCGTTCGTTCAAATAAAGAAATCGGGGTACTTTTCGCGAAGAATTTGGAAGTTCGCCTCAGCTGCTTCTTGCCAAACATAGTCTGGCGATTTTAGTTCCAGCTAAAATGAAAAAAAGCGAAAGTAAGCGGACTTACCACGGGGATGGGGATGGTAGACTCCGTTCTTATTTGTCTCGGTTCGAGATCTGAAATCATGGCTTGTTTGGGAATGCCATCAACCCATATTCCTTCCATTACTTGATTAGAAGAATGAAAAATAAATCTCCCATTGCCATTTTTCATGTCGTTTACCCATTCTCCCTCATATCTGTTTTCGTTAGCTATTAAGATTTGGTAACATGTACAGGAGGAAATTACGAAGTCTCAACATGCCTTTCCCCCATCGCTTATCATGAAGCCATTCACCTTCATACATGGAACCGTCTTTATAATATTGACGACCCCATCCACTCCTCTTATCTTTTAACCACTCTCCCTCATAAAACTCATCACAGCTGTACCAGTTTTCACCATAGCCCTATAAAATCTTTAACATTTATTTCAAAGTAAGTACGTGTCGCTTATTATCCTTCCACGATCCTGAGTAAATCTTCTTGTGTTGACAGTTTTTGTCGATTGCGTAAAGAATCCCAGTTCCACAACGCTTCCCGTCTTCCCAATAACCCTCATAAAATAAACCAGATTTTTTCCACGCTTGAACACCACGGCCGTGTTTTTTATCATCCTTCCATTCGCCAGCATAACTGTCACCATTAACTGCGTATATACACTTTCGAGCACCGTCTGGGTGTAATTTAGCAATTTCTTTTTTGTTAGGGGTTGCAATAAAGCCACATTTATGCATTTTCATCACCTATCAATAATTGAGGATGCCAAAATTTACAAGGTCGTCTTATTGTTTGCGCATATTGAGGTTACCATTAGAATTTGTTAATGTTTAACAAAAACAAAACATCTTCACTGTCTCCAGTTTAAAATCATTATAAACCTCCAATTTTATTCCTAATGTTTAAAAGACTGTCAATTGTGCACAAAGTTTTCAACTGATATTTGTCAGTGAATTGGACCTAATGGGGAACTAATTCTTTAATATTATCCTAAACCATATTCTAAACAATCAATAATTCATAAGTTTTAAAGTATATTCCAGATGCATAATCAAACTGTACTCCTGAATTTTATTTTAAACCACATTTACACCGATGATTAAAATACTAACACTGTTATTATATTTTATTTAAATATTGAACAAAAGAGAAATGTTAATCGAAACGAATAAGATTAATGATTATTGATTAAGAACATTTAATTGGAATTTTTACCAAAATTAGTCCTTTTAATAGTATTGAATGGACCTGTTGGAAATTGTCAAAATGCTATTTCAAATATTCTTATGTAAAAGTGGTTCCTGATTTATTTTTAGAATATAATGAAACTTTCAAACAATTAATTAGTATTAATGTTGAAAACAATGTACCTCTGTAGTCATTTTGATTAACAAAATGACCAGTTAATACTCTTTCGCTAATTACTAACGAACAATTTCCTTATGCATGTTATATTGATTTGAATTGCTTCAATTTCTAAAAGATAAACTAATCGCGGTTTCAAACAATCCAGTTTGTTTTAAAGATCATAATTTCGAAGTTATTAGGTAAGCAACAAATAAGGATCTGTATGAATTAAATTTTGTCCCATTGCGATTTATGCAGATCCTTCACAATTTATATATGATTTTGTTATGTTGTTATGTTGTTTGGTTTTGTTTCAATGGCAAGGGTTCCCATAAGATAAATAATACTGCCTGTAAGTATGCATTAAACTGGACTTCTTAAAATCGACCATAGAAGCAGAACTAGTTCTAATTAAATTCTGAGAACATGATAGATGGACGCACATAGTACATTTTGTGAACTCATTGTAACAGGAGTAACTCCTCCTATAAACGGCTAGAATGGCACTGTGATGCATCAAGATGATGGTGATGGTGATCACACAGCCACTACATAGGCCAGTAAATGGAGCAAAGAAAGGAGTTAATCGAATTAGGCGGCAAAAGCCAACACAAACTGTTTAAATACAGTACACATATTCATTATACTTTTTTTAATAAATGTGCATTTCAAAAATTTAATTAATAAAATACCAACCTCCAAAACGACTTCGATAAATGGCTCTGCTGTATTTCATACATACCTTAAATTTGCAGATATGGACAAGAGTTTGTTTACTTCAAAACGATCGTCTATGAAATGCTTGCAATAGCACGCGTTTTTTCTCTAATTTTCTTTGTTCGTTCTGTTCAATTGTTAAAGAAAAAAGCGCTATTTAGTTGGCAAGGATTAAATAACTCATCATTTCAGGGATATGACGCGACTGTCGCTCACAGAACGTCTGATCTCCAATCAATAAACTACTTGATAATTCCGGAAACTCAAATTCTATAGGCTCCAAGTTAGAGACCATTTCGTCTATTCTCTTATCAACCCCATATTATATTATCGATAAAACAGTATCCATTAGCTCCTCCTCCCCATTTCCTCGCTTGTTCCCCCCCCCCCCAAAGTTGATTCCTTTTGAGCTACATTGTCTAAGCACTGAATATCTACTTGTTTATTAATTTCAAATGGAAGTCGTTTTGATAGTTATCATTAGACCTTTAGCTGACTTCGGACTTCACAGAGAGGAGGAGGAACATCAAAGTGACAAAAGTCGAGAGGGGGGACAGAATAATGATTCACAGATGTAAAAGAGACAGACAGACACAAAGGCAGAGAAAAGGTAAGATAACACCTGTGGAGGTGGTCGAATATGACATACAGTGGGGTCATGGTAAATTGAAGTCAGAAGTCAACTGCCGGTTTATAGACTTTTTGCCCTATGGGTATTCGTTGCCCGGGGTGCACCACGTGGAGGTAAGTCTCTCGCACGCCCCAGTAGTGAATATTGAAATGCTGGGAATGAGCACATATTCAAATCGTTTTAGCACCCATTGTGTGCTGTGTAAGATTAAATTAGTGATTTTCTTACTTTAAACAACATTTAAGATTATTGTAAAAATTTCATTGTTCTTTAATATTCCCTTTAATATAACGCTTATTATTAATATATATATATATATATATATATATATATATATATATTCATTGAGAAAATACTATTATACATAGGGCATATCAAAATTTTTGCTGTTTTCAAACAAATCAATGTAATAAAACGAAATATGAGATTTTAATTTCCATTGCGCATTTTATATCAAATCCTTAAAAGCACTTATCTACGAATTACAGAACAAAAAGGGAAAATATAAAGATTAAAATCCTTTTAATGATTTTCCCCAAATGATAAAGGAATGTCAAACATCAGTTAAAATGATATGAGTTCGAGAGGGCGGGCAAGGAGGGAAGAGGTAGGAAGCTTAAATTACCGTGGCACCGAAAACGGGAAGACGGGGGTGGGGCGGGGTAATAAACCGCATTGGGTTTACAACAAATGATTAAAGCAAATACAGCGCGCTGGGTATCATTATTAGTTCATTTTGTAATGCTTATAAAACAAAGAGCACTTGGTCTACTCAATAAGGGCTGTGGTAGATGCACCCGGATTAGGATGATGGAAAGAATTACTATCGCATAATCGGGATGTCAAAGAGAGAGAGAGAGAGAGAGGGGGGGGGTTAGGGTTTTAATAGAATTTACGAATGTTCAACACAATCGGCATCTACTACCGATCGAGATCTTTTGAAACAGGAGAGATCACTTGCGTTGAAGGCAGTGCGTTTTCGAATCGGCCAGCATCGTTCAGCATTTCTCTCCTCAGATTCACAACCGAAAAATCCCCGTTCTTTCCTTTTAGCATGGCTGGAGTTCTCTCGTGGAGCAGCTAAATGCCTTGCTTTGAAGATTGAGCTCACCGAGACGTTAGAGCTTAAGTATCCGGCTTCAGAAATCACTGGAAGGTTAAAGGAGTCGAGAGAGTAAGTTGAATCAGTGAAAAAGCCAGAGGAGGCTGCTATTGGGGAGGAGACGGGACTTTCCTGTGCTGATATCGATTTTGTAACCATCACAGCTTCATCCTCATCGTCGAAAAAGTCGATGCTATCTCCTATGGATGGTATCTCGAGACTGATTGTCCGGGTCATTGACAAAAAGTCCCTCTGAGATAGAGAGGCCTCGGGCGATCGTTCAGCCGTAGCACGTGAAAGTTTACGAAGTTTGGCAAACTCCTTGTAAAAATTAAAACTTAAATTAAATTAGTCAATTTGATAATGGTAATACGGTTAAAAATAGATACTATCCTCTAAGTTGATTGCTTTTCATTAATATGTGAAAATATTAATTATTAATGAATAATATGATAACTATTTAACCTGTGTGTGAATCAGATTTAGAAACATCTAAACCGTTGTAATTCCCTCATAGCAATCCGCTGTGTGTTGTCTATGTGTCAAATAAAGAGCGACTCGCATTTTACAAAGACTCGTTGTCGATACGTTGAACCTTGCTGCATCAAATTCATTTCCAAACAATCCATTATTTGTTTAAATGGTTTTAATTAATTTAAAACTTTAATATTTGATGTGATTCTATTTAATCATTGAGATATGTGAATGATTAATCTGCTTAAACGAATTACTACCGATAGTAGGTGCTTTAATTGACAAATATTAAGATTACATGATTCTATTCACTGTATTTAGCGTTCTGTCGCATAATATTAAAAAAAAACAAAAAAACAAAAAGGGTGTGTGATAGACTTACCTCCACTTGGTGCACCCTGGACAACGTATACTCATACAGCAAAAAAGTCTATTAACCGGCACACTTTAAACTACCATTATCTATTGTATGTCATATTCGACTCATCTAACCTTTTTCTCTACCTTTGTGTCTGTCTGCCTCTTTTACATCTGTGAATCGCTTTGCTGTTCCCCACCCCTCGAATTTTTTTCTACTTTGATGAACCTTCCCTCTGTGAAGCCCTAAGTCAGCTAAATGGCCAATGATAGCTAACAAAACGCCTGCCATTTGAAATCAATAAAGTATCTAAGTATTTAAGCGTATTCTTACAGTGGCATTTAAATCCCGTTTGCGTTTACATTTCGATGGCGATGGCAAAGGAAAGGAGGCTGCGGTGGAGAGGAGGGGACAACTTTTTGTTCGTTGTTCAATGCTCGTGGAAGACGTATTTTTCACATTCCAGGCGCTATCATCCGAACTCCAGGCATCATTTTTCCTTTCACCCACATCTGTCCTGGCAACCTCATCGTCTCCATACTGTGCCAACCATTTCTTTTTCGGATTGAAAGAGGGACCACCATTCGGGTCTTCTCTAGGAGAAAGCAAGGCTGAGCTTGAATGGGAAGAAGAGGAGGAGGAGGAGGGACTAAATGGTGGTTGGGTTCGTGGAAGGCTTAGGTCCAGAGAGGCTTTGGAGGTCACTTCATCTTCTATACTAGTGGCAGCGGCCGCTGCAGCAGCAGCTTGTTTAGCATGGAAAGTAGCCAACGACTTCTCAAAGTGTTTTTCCACAGCCAGATCAGCTATATTCTGAGCTTCGAGGTAAGGACTTGACATAAAGGTGTCAAGACTCTCTTCTTCTCCATCGTACGTGTTTGTCAATTTCCAGACACGTTTGGGAGTGGTAGCTGCACCCTCGAGCAAGTCATATTCTCCCTTAAATTGTAAAGCAAAAAAGGCATAAATTCAAGTTCATTGTTATCGCGATTGTTGGTAGATTTTATTTGGAAATTAAGGCAGAAGAGGAATGCGCCTGTCTTTTGTTGGACGTGCCTTTGGAATGCGTTAAATGCATGCGTACAAATGATTGAACAGTCATGGCCGCCAGTCCCCATTATAGTTGAAAGAACGCACAAAACTTCCTTCTTCTTTCCCTCTACCCCACCTACCACCCCCCTCCCCCCCTCCCTCCCACCAAGTCTTATAAATTACGCATTTCAAAAGAAATAAACAGCTAAATTCAGTAGTAACATATGGTTCCAGGGTTAATAAAAGAACGCGGTTTCGCAATTAATTCGTTTTCATTCGATCTCTTGAAAGTCCGATTTAACAATGAAATGTCGAGAAGATAATTAGAGACCATAGCAAGAAGATGTTCCGTCTATTTGCTTCATATTCCATGCAGAATTTTGCTTAACTTATACCAAACTTGTGCTAGAACAAGTCGTATTGGGCAGCTTTGACAGGTATTAAAATTTCTGTTTTGCGGCTAGAAGTATTATATTATTTAACTTATCTATTATATAAAACTAAATTTATTTTATATTTCAGCTATCCACTTATTTTATTTTCCCTGTTTGTCAAATGTTAGATTTAAAATATTACTAATAAGGAACGCTATGATCTCTGATGTAGTTTTTAACTCTGCCACAATAAATTAAGTTTATTATTTAGCAGGTTTCATTTATTAAATTTGTAAAGACTGTTTTTATTTCACTAATGCTGGCTACAAATTTTAAAATTAAGTTAATTTCGAATGATTGATGCAATTTCTATTTTTTTCTTTCAACTATCATGACGTATTTACTAAAGATTTAATCGTACTAATGACCGATCGGTGTCATCAGGTATGTTCAAATTAATTACAATTAAAATTACCATCTATCCAGGTTAGAAGGAAAGAAATCACGATTTCTAACTAAAATAAAATAGCGCCATTGTTATTTATCATAAATAAAGGTGTCACTTTTTTATCCAATAAAATTTGTGCAAATGCCACGACAAATACCTCGCGTATTTTATACCAGAAAGGACAAATGACTCGGTTTGCTTTTGGGGTAAATAAACATTAAATAAAATGCATCGTAAGAGCACTTTTCTATCATTTGACAAAATTTTATTGGCTGACAGAGGAAAAATGAAGTGGTGAAATAGATAATTGAGATTTATTAACCAATCAATAAATTCTGGATATCGTAGACAGGAATTAATTTAGACATTTAAAATTTAGATAAATACAATACCAAACCCCATAGGCCATTTCCGGTAAGTGAAATAGAGCCCCCATGAAGAATAGGAAGAAACTTGTGAAATATATTTTTGATGTGCTGTTTTCAACTCAAACACACTACTTTCACATCAACTTCTCAGCGTTCAAGCACCTTTCCATGTTCAAAAATGATTGTTTTATACCTTGTCATAAATAATATTAACGATTAACGCGCTAGTCTATAAAGCCGAGGTCAGGGCAAGCAAAACTGTTTAAGTATAGTTAATAAGTGGGTGACACTGACGGAGGAGCCTCATGAGGGAACCCCTCTGTCCCAACATGAGCAACAACACGTTCTTTCCTAATCAAGTTAGTGTGATAAATACTTAGACAGAAAATTCTGCGCTTCTTTGTAAGGTGCACACATTTTTGAGGAAATTTATTTCCCTCCAATCTCTAAATCGGCAAAGAGACAACCGCACATTCCAACAGAGATACGGTAGAAAATGGTACCCCCCCCCCCACACACACACGTCTCTACGAGGGGAACTTGTTAATCTCATGGTCGCTTGCTGCGTACGTCGATTTTGCGAAAGAATGCACATTCTTTTGCAGGAATGAAGACAAAACAGAACTGTCCCGGGATGCGGACGTGCGCTCCTGCGCGCATAAGGAATGCAAAGGTGGTGCAGGCTATTGCATGCAATGAAGAAGGAAGGTAAGTACATTATATATAAACTTATGCACGCCGAATATATTTCTCAAAGGATGGTGCAAACGTAAGTGAAGCAAGGATACTTGAAGTACTGTCCAACTGTGTAGTATGACTCTATTCTATGCAAGTGTTTTCCAACAACCACACTGGAGAGAGGGTAGGCACCACGGTGTCATCTTAGTAAGAGGCTGAAGTTCTATCGTCTCCTTTTGTTAACTGGCAGCTTTGTCTACTGGATCATCAAAAGTGTTTACCAAGCTCGTGGCCACTGTATCCGAATGCTTATCGAAAATGAAATGCTAATCCATAGATTCTGAACACATTGAACAGTCACCCAAATGACAATCTATCTTAAGCAAAGTTATGATTTCTTTAGTGGGGTGTGTGAAAGACTTACCTCCACGTGGTGCACCCTGGGCAACGTATACTAATACGACAAAAAAAGTCTATAAACCGGCAGTTGCCTTCTGACATCAAACTGCCATGACCCCACTGTCATATTCGACTTCTTCCACAGTACTCACCTCACTTTTTTTCTACCTTTGTGTTTGTCTCTTACATCTTTGAAACACTCTTCCGTCCCCCCCCCTCTCGACTTTTTTTCAATTTGATGTTCCTTCCCCTCTGTGAAGTTTGAAGTCAACTAAAGGGCTAATGATAACTATCAAAACGACTGCCATTTGATATAATAATAATGATTTCTTTAACAGGTGTGGTGCATGTAGGATAAAGCAGAACTTACAGCTGATTTGACATGCAGATTACGAAGAGCTTTGGAGAAGTGATCCTCAGCATCGCCGAATTGATGAATCACTACTCGTGATCGACGTCCACGCTCACTCGCCCTTGAATTTCGTCTGATTGACTGTGACTGTACACTGAAAGTAAATAACGCGGGTATTGTAAGCAGATAGCTAGGTCAACGGGTTGCTTGTGAAACAATACAGAAGTTGCTTCCGGGATGCAGAGAAAAGCTTCTGTAGTGCTGTTTAATTAAGAGTATCAGATGACCAATAAGTCCAATGGGCAAAAACTATTTTCTTTTACCAAATTATGAGGGAATTTAATCAAATCAAGTGAGGAATGATGTCTATTTATCAAGATTTAGTAAAATTACATTTTAGACCTCGTAAGTTAGACAAAAGTTCCAAACGTGAGCTTAAGAGTAAGGCTGAAATATAGGGGAAACAAATTTTCATATTTTTATTCGGTAAAATTAAACTCTAAAGCCAAAAAAACAACTTTCAAATTGGACACATCAGACGTTAAAATAATGTTCAGCATTGGGGTGTGCGATAGACTTACCTCCATGTGGTGCACCTT